CTACGACTACACTATATTTTCTTCCGGATATAGTGCAGATATTGTACTAAGGCACAAATAACGAATACCAATATGAAACGTCTCCCGTCACTAAGCCAGATGCATGAAAAGTTACATATCACAATTCTTGTGTTTGTTTATTGATACGTTGCATACCGAGACATTTTCCTCAATTCGAACTGAAATGGAGCCGTTTTTCAAATCTAAACAGCTTTATTAATAGGTAGCAAAAAACACATTGTTTAAAAATATAAAATTATCATTCATAATGGTAATATATTTGTAACAGTGCAGCACGAAAGATTCTGTAATCGTTATTAAAAATAATAAAAAGAAGTTCTCCCAACTGCGCTCTGATCCACCGACCTTTGGGTTCGGAGCCAGCGCTTCCAACAACTGAGCTATCACCATTTCTCCGTATTTGTAGATATTTTATTAATATAATTTCGAAGATTGATCTTTTTTAATTATTGCTGTTATTTAAATAAAAAGGAATTCATCAATTCAATGTTGAGTATGTATGTTATTAGAAAAATTACCTTCAACAGGAGCATTCTGCAGAAAATAATTGATCTGTTCAGCATTGAGTATTTTTGATATTTTACTTCGGAATCCATCCTTCCCTTTTGAGAATATGGGATAATATGTTGCTATATTAATATTGTGATTGATATTTAGTGTTGATCGTAACATGGAATATATCGACCAGAGTGATGATGATTTCATCGAATTTGATTATTCTTGAAAATATACTAAAAGGATTTTTCCGAAAATGACACGGTATTATTTCTAATTCTCCAGTCCAGGAATTTTTGATGTGCTATTTCGTATTATTCACGAGACTTAGCTGGTAGCAACTAATTTTTTACCATTTTAGCTTTTTCCAACATCCTACCCACCTAGCAAGTGACATTAATGAAATCGTTAATTGTTATCGACACATCGCCTAAGCAACAAAACAAAGTCATCTATCAACATACCTATGAAAACCGTGCGATCGCTCTCTTTACGCACACGTGTGTAAGGATAAGCTTACTGCCATTGTTTTGTGTACAATATCCATCACTTACAGTAGTAGTCGTAGGAAAAATATATTTTTTACGTCAATGAGGTACTAGAGTATGTCATCAATATTATTTCCGTATCTGTGATATCACAATGATTCCATTGTGTTATTATTTCAAACATATCTCATCGCTCATAGAATGTTAATGTGAAGCAATGACAGTTCTGTCTAATACATGAGCATTACTTGACAGGAAATCAGATGGATACAAGACGAATAAATCGAAAATGCCGCTGTTATCATTTATGGCCGTAGGAAAATTATAGTGTATAACTACACTCAGTTCCAAAAAGAGTGACACACTTGATATTTGACCTATCTTCTTGAAAAAAAACAGTAGGCCGATTTTTATTTTTTTTTATTTGTTGGTAGGTAATGCATTTGTCTTAAAAAAAAGAGGTGGACATTTTTTCAAAGCCTCCTTGATGGTGCATGGAATAACTCGAACCATTATTTATTCTTAATTTTTGAGTTACTCTGTGTGTTAATTGAGTAATGGCATAGAAAGTGCTTGCACCCTATACGGAAGGAGCTTCTTTTGCTAGCATTTCGTTTTTTAATTTATTGATTTATCTCTAAATTGTTTCGAATTACAGCTTTTTTTGCTGAATCCTTGCAGATTACCAACTTTCGGAATTTATCGAGAAACAATTTTCTAATGAAATAAACTGATACCAATAATTTTGAAAAACATTTTTATCAAACACAAAATCATAAATTGGGATGACTGCTTGATACCGTGTATTGCCTTCTCTAGCAACTCTAAGAACTTCTAATCTACGAGGCATACTGAAAATTAAGTTGCTTATCGTTTCCATTGGTATACTATCCCATTCTTCCACTAATGCATCTGCCATTTCTGCGAGACTTTCGGAAGACCTCTCGCGTACGTACGTACGTACCCTTATCCCTAATTCATCCCACAAATGTTCTATAGGATTAATATCGGGGCTTCTCGCAGGCCATTGTAATGTGGTAATACCAGTAGCTTCTAAGAAGTTCCACACTATTACTGCGATGTGTGGTCAGGCATTATCCTGCATCAATATAAAATTATTGCCCACTAACTCTGCATGAGGTAAGACATACTGCTCCAAAATGTCAATGTAAATTTGGGCATTCATCGACTGCCTCACCGGAAAAACATGAAGGGGTGTCTTTCCATTCATTGAAATCCCTCCCCACACCATGACGGACCCACCATAAAAACTTCCGCATTCTGTTATTGAATTTTGATTAAACCGTTCACCAGTTCTTCTCCACACTCTTTTTCTTCCATCCACCATGTTAAGGCAAGACCTTGACTCATCCGTAAACATGACATTCGGCCATGCAGGAATATTCCACTGTCCATAATTTTCAACAAAATTTCTTCTAGCAGCACGATGTTCGGCCAATAATTTGGGACCTTTTGCAGGTCTCCTTGCTTTTAGATTAACTTCTTTCAGACGTCTACATACCGTCTGCTTACTTCCCTACTTACTTAATTTGGCGAAGATCTTGCTGAACATTCACCGCAGTATTTGATCGATTCCGTAAAATCCGCAATCTCAAGGAGCGATCATCTCTTGGAGAAGTTTTTCGGGGGCGACCAGAACCGACCCTCCGAGCGGTGCTTCCTGATTGTTCGTACTCGCGGATCGCTCTACGAGCAGTTGCTTCATGAACTCCCACTGCACGAGCGGCGTAACGTTTACTACGCCCATCGTTTACTAACGCAACTAATCTTGCTACTTTTCCAGGATTTATTTATAGCATTTTATGTAATTTCAGTCGATAAAACATAACACTGAATTACAACGACAAATGGTCATATATGGAGACATACAACAAATTTGTTGTTATGGCAACGGCATTTGTTTTTTAAAGACGATGTGATCCTACCAGAGTACAACCCAATCAATTTTGAGTACTCTGATCCTTCAATAAATTTAATTGGTGGGATAAGCGTGAGGTATCAGCAAAAAAGCATTAATTCGGAAAATTCTAGAGTTAAATCAATGAATAAAAAAACACAATGCTCGCAAAAAAAGCCCCTGCCGTATAGGGTTGAAGCACTTTGTATGCCATTACTCAATTATTACACAGGGTGAGTCAAAAATTAAGAATAAATCATGGTTCGAGTTATTCCACCACCATCAGGGAGCTTTGAACAAATTTCCACCTCTTCATTTCTTTTTTCAAAGACAAATGCATTACCTACCAACGAATGAAAAAAAATAGAATTCGCCTAGCATTCGCCTATGGCTCATGCTGCAAACTTCATTCTCTTAAGAAATCATTGTCATTTCGTGCTCCTTAAACAATATACTACAATATTACAAAATTTAAAAAATGTCTTATTGATTTTTTTTCTAGTCAAGAACTTAATAGAAAGAAGTATACAACAAACAATCACATAACAATGTTGGTGATATTTATAATGAAAGAACCATTATTGACATTTTGCAAATTGCTTCTGGTAAGTACGGCTTGATGAACACTGACTTTTAGGACATACGTTGATGGAAAGTTTTTTTCTCGAAATGAGTTGAAGAATCAACCCCTTGAAAATTAGCATGTCTTCAGGAAACACCCTGTATAGAGTGTTCCAAATAATATGCCTTGCCACGTGTTATACATACAGGGTGTCCGGAAATTTTGCGCAAAAAATCGAGGTGGTGATTCTGCATGAGAAAATATGAAATTCATTTCATATATACTTGAGTCCAGAAATGCATAGTTTTCAAGATACAGTGTGTTAAACTTTTTAGAAAAAATCGTTTTTTTTTATGAATATCTCGAATATTCTTTCACCAATTCTCTTGAAATTTGGTTATGATATTCTTTGTCATGAGGGGCTGATTCAGCCATTTTTAAATTAGAATTGTGAAATCCAGTGGCGTCCCAGGGGCACCCTACCGAATATTTTTGTCAATAAAATGTGCGCCCCTGATTTTTTCAAATTCTCTATCTCCATATCCTAATGATTGACAAAAAATACAACATTTTAGTCTGCTTAATTATTTTGCAATTTTGCTGCGTTTCCGTGGAAAAAAATAAATACCAATTCATTGTATAAATTTGTGCAAAACATTGCTGCACAAACAGGGGTGAAATTAAATGTGTTATCCATGTCCATAGACGTAGAATAAGAATTGAGATTCATTTTCTTCAAATATTTTATAATACATGTTTGACACACTTTGTATTATCGAAAACTACGCCTTCCTGGACCAAGAATACATAGTTCTCAATATACAGAGTGTAGAGTGTGTCAAACATGTATCAAGGAATATTTGGAGAAAATGAATTTCCATACTTATTTTCTATCTATGGACATTGATGCCGCATTTATTTTTACCTCAGTTTTTTATGGAATAATTTTGGATCAAATTTATGCAATAAATTGGTAATTATATATTTTTTTCCATGGAAATGAAGCAAATTATCAAAATAATTCAAGAGTCCAAAATGTTGTATTTTCAGTTGGTCAATAGGTTATGAAGATACAGAATTCAAAAAAATCAGTGGCGCACATTTTATTGACAATAATATTCGGTAGGTTGCCCCCCGGGACGCCACTGGATTTTATAATTCCAATTGAATTATGGCTATATCAGCCCCTCATGACAAAGAATATCATTGACAAATTTCAAGGAAATTGGTTGAAGGACATTTGAGATATTCATAAAAAACCGATCTTGTTTAAAAGTTTCAACACACTGTATGTTGAAAACTATGCATTTCCGGACCCACGTACATATAAAAAGAATTCCTTATTTCATCATGTCGTAGAATCACTTTCTTGATTTTTTGAGCAGAATTTCCGGACACCCTTTATAGTAAAGGTGTGTTCAATGAATCAATGAGTATTGAGTACAGACCGTATTTTTTAAGCTATAACAAGCATTTCAATCGCAGTGAGTAGTAGAAAATATAAAATCTGTTTCAGATTTGACGCAATGCAAGAACATCCACCTGTGTCCCACAGAAAAGTGTTCCTGGCAATTCTCCTAGTTTCCTGTCTTATTCTAATGATATTTTATTACGATGATACTCTTCTTACCAATGGCTTTGTCTATGACAAAGATCAGACCAATTATCTCGAAGGTAAGCTACAAAATATTTACTGTTGTCCTGCATGGTAGGTATCCTGAATCCTCAATTCTATTATACAGGGTGATTCAAAATTCCATGTAGATACACTCAGTTCCAAAAAAAGTGACGCACTTGATATCTGACCTATCTTTAAAAAAAAAATAGTAGGCCGCTTTTTTTTCATTTGTTGGTAGGTAATGCATTTGTTGTTGTGCCAGTTCCCAAAAATGAAACTCGCAATCAGATATTTTTAAAATTTTTCAAATCAAATCAGAAATGCAATTGAAAGTAACTTGCTTATTTTATCTTTATGATTGTCCTATAATAAATTGAGTATCAATTACAGCAAATTAGCATTCATGTATATCTCTAAACGACGCCTCTCAAGTGAACTAAAATTTGATATCAAATTTAATAATAAAATCATCAAATATTCCACAGCCATCAAATTCCTTGGGATATTCCTTGATGAACATTTGTCATGGTCCAAACATATTGAATCGATCAGAAAGAAAATATCTCCAGTAATCGGAGTACTCTACAGGATCAGACACCAAATCACTTTGAAATACTTGAAATGTATATATTTTTCCTTGGTTTATTCAAAATTACAATACTTGATTTCAGTTTGGGGTACAGCTAGATTATCAATCATGAAGCCAATCAAAATCCTTCAAAACAAAGTTATTAAATGTATATACAAACTAGATTACTTGGAACCAACAAGAAATCTTTATAAACCTAGGCAATTGTTAGATATAAACTCCATTTACAAATTCAAAATATTGAATTCCATCCATTCCGTCAAATATAATTATAAACATTCAAATCTGAATTTTGAAGTCAATAGTCATAAACACGAACACATAACCAGACAAAGAGATATGTTAACTCTCATCAAAATTAAATCAGATATGGGTAAAAGATCTATTTTATACAATGGAACAATTCTCTATACTGAATTACCTGCCAGACTAAAGAAAAAATTAAGTGTTGAAAAATTCAAAAAAGAACTGAAAAAATACTTATGTCTTTGATTCTCTTCATGTCATCCTGAATCAATTCAAGAAATTATATTTAACAGTCTCTAGAAGAAACAACATTATATGTATTATGTATATGATTTAAAAATGATTATCTGATTATCTAATTTTTGTTTTTTTTGAAAACACTCACTGGTTATTTTTTCAGGTAATAGGAATTCTCCAAGATGAATATAGGTAATTGTAACAAACGGCATGTCAATCAAAGTAAAATACATTTTCCACAATTTTCTTTCGATCAATCTCACGATAAGTTTATGTTCTGCGGGCTTTGTATAAGTAGGTGTGAAGTTTACCTTCACCACAATTTTTGCCAATATATTCAATTTGAATGGGTTGCTGTAGGTGGATATTTGTGTTTTATCCTGGTTTTCGCTTTGAAACTTCGTTTTTCCAAAATGAAATCGAATGGGGTGCGAAGAAGGTCTCAGTTGACGACTGGCATCCTTTTTTAACCGGAAGTTCTTCAATAAACAGCAAAATCGGCTCAATGATGATCTAAAACTAAAATCGAAATACGCGGTCGCCTTATAGCGCTATAAGCGCTTGTCGTTTCGAGCCGCTGGTTAGGCCTCACTAAGTGACGTCACCCACGGAGCATGCAGGCCTTGTTGTATCGGTGGTAACGCCATAGCACAGTTGTGTTGAAATACGATTGGGAACTTCAAAAATATTAGTTATTTGATAATTCATAAATTCTCAATTGAGTATTGGTAATATTCCTAATCAGCAATAAAGATTCCATTGTCTCAAAATATTTCCTTATGATTTGTGGCTATAAATGCTTATAATAAATTTTTGTAAATAATAATTATATAATATAATTCACACTAGAGGACATTTGAATCGGTGAACGGCGCCCGACTTGTGGGCGTGGTCTTGTCAGCTCTCAGGATTCAGCACAATGTTGCCAAGTCCCCAACATTCACATTATATTTTATTATGGAAAATAAAAAATATTTGGACATGCTGGTTGCTCCAAAAAGTCAAGAATGAACAAAAATACCATGGGTTCCTCCTATTATTTTTCATTCAACGACAGGACTCTAACATCTTTTTGATAACGTGATTATAATTGGTGACTTGATAACCGTGCTTCATGAGTGGAAATGGAAGATCATCTGATTAATAACGATACAGCATAAAAACTGACGTCACCATCTACTCGACGTATCGCCAAATGGCGGCCATGAAGGTTCGTTTGAAATGAGCTCTGAAATTCACCAATTTCGAACAACCACAGGAACAACGCATAAAGGCATCATCAACATAAAACAGCATGAAGAGTGTGGCAAAAATTATTTTATCTACAACTAGGGAATCATTAATACATTACTCGATTTTCAACATTTAATGACACACCTAATTGTGATGAATCGAGTAATAAGAGTAATAATGACAGGATGACGTAATAATCTGACATCGCATCGTCTTGTCAAATTATCAACTAGGTAGGTATTCGTTCTACTAGTTCTACTAAAGCACACCACTATACTACTGTTAGTGAAATACACGCAAATTCAAAAGACCCACCTTACATGGTTCTCATAGTTTTGATCACCTTAATTCCACAAATACACGGAAAAATTTGAATTCACTGTTTTTCATTCTCAACAGTGACTACCATCATGAGTAACCATAACCATAAAATAGGACTTGACACTTGACAGTTGCAGATTGGCTCACACTCATGTGCGGGCTATTCGAATAGAATAGTACAGACCAAGAGGAACCATGGAACTTCATTGTCGATAACTAACGTCTAGAGGGTACTACAATAATTGGCAAGGTGATCGACCGTTGGGGGCGCTGTTTCAAAACAAGATGGCGGCAAAGAGTGTGTAGTTTGTTTACAAAATTTCTTGAGATTTGCATACATTTTCTTCTTGATATTTCATCGTGTTATTTGTGTTTATTGTTGAACTTTTTACTGAAATCATAATATTTTTTGTTGGATCATACTGTTTCATCGTGATGTGAGGAAACCCAGATAGCACAAATTCCTTTTGAGGCCCTTCTGAGGCGTTCACAATAATGTCCTCAGGACGTCGAGAGCGAGCCTGAGGACATTCTCAAGACGTCCTCCTGTTACCATTCTCTACATACTAATAACGTCTCAGAACATCCCTATAAAATCTTTTGAGACAACCTCAGGACATCATGGTAACAACTTGAGGCGGTTTTAGATGATGTTTCAAGGAGGTTCAAGATTTATGGGAGAATATTATTCGTATACAGAATGAGTCACTATAGTGTGTTCTCCTCCGATATTAGCCAAACCGTCAGATATATAAAATGAAAATTCAAGTACAACAGTAATAGGGTTTCATAAGAACAATCACCTAAAGTTGTTTTCATATCTATAGGGTGTTCGAATTCCAAGATATCGGTTGATGATTGGTTTTTTCAATGGAACACCTTGTATATTATTGCATTTTTGAGTTTTCCCTGAAGAGTTGATTCCATCAATGCATCACACTTGGTGTCTAGTGGAAATTATTACAGAGATATAGGGTGTTGATGACAATTGAGATTCTTCAAATGTAGGATTTTTTGTGTCCAAACTATTCATTAATGGTCAAAACGGCTCACATGTTCCTGTCATAACTTTTGATTAGCTATCTACTGATATTTATTTGGAACAGATACAATAAGCTGATCAGTATTCTGAATGTTAACCCACCCTCTATTATTTGTTCCGATTGAATGTCAGTAGATAGTAAATCGAAAGTTTATAAGGATATGTGAGCCGTTTTAACCAATATTGAATAGTTTCCACAAAAAAAATCCTAAAATTGAAAAATCTTGTTCTTGAACACCCTATACTTATCTCTGTAATCATTCCCGCGAAACCCCAAGTGTGACACATTGATGGAATCAGCTCTTCAGGTAGAACCTAAAAATGCAATAGTATACAGGGTGTCCCATTTGGAAAAAAACAATTATCAGTCAATATATCTTGGAATTCGAACACCCTACAGATATATATGAAAACAATTTAATGTGAAAGTTCTCATGAAACCCTATATTACTGTTGTACTAGAATTTTCTCTATTTATCTGATGGTTTGGCAAATATACAATAAGGATAACACACTATTGACTCACCTTGTATTATGCAAATGATAATTTCTTCATAATAATATGGATCTCATGATATTTGCAAAATTTCCCTCTATTTATAATAGGTTCAAATGAAAAACCAAATGAAAAACTTACATTCTATTATTTATAACTTATTCTGAAGAATTTCAATTTCCTTTTCTAAGAAATGTATTTCAGCTTCTTGTTGAGCACTACTAGAAGTTATTGCCTATTGATAGTTATATTTCTCTATGTTGTTTTTGATTTCTGAACTCTGGACATTCCTGATGCAGAATAATCAACTGGAAGTTGAAGCCTTCATGCAATATTTTATAGATTCTGAGGAAGCAAAACTATCTTGGAATAAAAATATCATCAGGTTTGTGTTTTGCATAACCTTCTGAAACAAACAATGTATTGATATTTCATGTCCAGTACTTACTATCAATGATATGATTTATGTAGTTATAGGTACCAACCATTATTGAATCTACTGAAAGTTCAAGTCTGCATATGTACAATCTTTCATAATTTCCAAAGAAGCCAAAATATCTTGGAATAAAATATCTCTGCTCTGATGATATCATCATTTTATGTTATCAATAACCTCCTGAAACAAATAATGTACCTATTAATATTTCATGTTCCAGTCCCTACTATATCAATGATTTGATTTAGGTACCTACCTTTATTGAATATACTGAAAGTGCAAACATGCATATGCAATGTCACATAGATTTCGAAGAAGCCAAAATATCTTGGAATGAAACATCTCTGCTCTGATGACATCATCAATATTGTGTTCTCAATAACTTCATCTGAAACAAATAATTAACCTATTAACATTTCATGTCCAGTACCTATACTATATCAATGATTTGATTCA